CGGGCTCCGCACCCGCGCTGCTGGGGCTCAGGGCAGGGCCGGCGGGTTGGGCCCCGCAGCTCAGCGGGAGCTACCGCAGGGCGGCCAGTTTGTCTCCACAAAGTGGGGATTTTGCGTGGTTTCCAATAACTGGTGCCTCGGTTGGCAGGACGAGTGTGTGTCCTGTAGATTCACTCAGTTGCCAGAGCCAATGTCAGTTTTTCTGTAGGGACAGATGAGCAGGGAAAATGGTGTTTCCCCACCTCCCAGGCTTGCAGCACTGATTCAGAACTGCAGCTCTTGGAGCCCAAGGTGTTCTTCCCATGGAATATGCACTTCAAAGACTTTCCATGAGTCCTGATTAGCCCTTTGTGAAAGCTTCACTGGTTTAATTTTAATGCCTATGCTACAGATTTGTCTTAACAGAAAGATGCAGGTATCTGATCATACCTAGGGTTTAGGTCAATGTTAAAAGCTGCATAAAATGCTGCCAGTTTCAGCAGAGACAAAACAGAAGAAGTAGAAAGAATTCCAGCCACCTTCTCAAAGCTTTTTTCTTTTTTGTCTCACCCAATTTCACCTCTCCTCAGCACAGTAAATCTGACCTCTTCCTGTTGCCTCCAGGCTTGCCTGTGCAAGCGAGGCCCTGTACCCAGGAGTATGTGTCGGGGCACGTTAGTCCTTCAGTTGTGTTGTAACTTCACCGGGGTAGAGACGTTTTGGGTTTTTTCTCTGTTCTGTGAGAATGAGAGATTTTGAAAACTTGAACCCGAGGTCCCCTGCTCTGCCCCCAGCACAGACACAGCCCCAGGAGCAGACCCAGCTCTTCTCCGGGCCACGCTGGCTCTCCCAAACAGCAAAGGTAAAGCCCCAGCCTTGAAAGGTGATGGACCAGCCATGCAAGTTCCCAGCTCCGGTTTCAAAGTGTTTTGTCCGATTCAGGGGCAGTTTCCAGCTGGCTGCAATCAGTGAAAGCTGAGCCCTGAGACTGAATTCTGACTTCAGCAAAGCTTACATTGAACTTTCAAAGGGGCACAGTGTGGATTTTAGTTTTCCAGAGTAGGAGGAAAGGAGGAAAGCTGAAATGGAGCTTATCTGAAGTTTGACCTGCTTATTCTGCTGAGGTGTGATAGCATCTAGAAATCAACATAAACTCTTTAGCTGAGGGCTTTTTCCTCTCAAATCTATGGCTCTGCTTGCCTCCTTTTGGGATGAGTTAGCAATGAAAATGTGGAAGGGCAGGCTCTGCAGTATCTTCCTTTGCCAATTGGTTGGTGCTCTATGTGCATACAGCTCTGACAGCACCAGCTTGAGGCTTCTTATCAGTGTTGTCAATATCAAATGTACTTCTGAGATGAAGGACCATGTCTGAGCTACAGCAGAAAGCCTTGGAGGCCTGCTGGAGGTGGCTGGGTGGAGTGAAGACTGAAGAAGGCCAACTAGTACTTACCTTGGAGGCAAAGAAAGCACCAGCCCAGTCTTCTAGGACTGTGGCATTGGAAAAGACATGATGTGAAAATTACCAAGGAGTCTCTGTCTGTATGTAGCCTTAATTTGTGCACTGATGGTAATTTCTATTGCATAAGGAAGTAACACTGAGAGGTAAAACACTGACAAGAGTCAACCACAGAAAGGGAAATATCTCAAGAGAGGAAAGGAGGGCATAAAGGATGCATGGAGGAAATGTATTTGAAGGTGTAACTTATTTCCTGCCTCTTTGTTGAGAAATAATCAAGGTATGCTTGTCCCATCATAAATACAGGAAGATGAGAGTTTAATAAGCTATTTGAATCCATAAACATGAGAGTGACATTAATGAAAGTGACTTGCATTTGTCTGTGACTCTTGAGTGAGACCTAGGAAGTCCTCTCATTTGTAGAAGGTCTAGAGCTGACTTTTCACCCTTTGAAAAGTAACCATTTGATGTATTATATCATCCTGCAGGTGAAAGGACACAGGAAAGAAGATGGACTGGGGAACTCTGCAGGCTGTTTTAGGAGGTGTAAATAAGCACTCCACCAGCATTGGGAAGATATGGCTCACAGTCCTGTTCATCTTCCGCGTCATGATCCTGGTGGTGGCTGCAGAGAGAGTCTGGGGAGATGAGCAACAAGATTTTGTCTGCAACACACTTCAGCCTGGGTGCAGAAATGTTTGCTATGATCAGTTTTTCCCCATCTCCCACATCAGACTCTGGGCCCTGCAGCTGATCTTTGTCTCCACGCCGGCGCTGCTGGTGGCCATGCATGTAGCTTACAGGAGGCACGAGAAGAAAAGGCGATTCAGGAAGGGAGAGAAAATTGATATTGAAGAGCTGAAAAATGAGAAGTTTCACATTCGGGGCCCCCTGTGGTGGACATACACCACCAGCATCTTCTTCAGGATCGTCTTTGAAGCAGTCTTCATGTACATGTTTTATTACATGTACAACGGGTACCAGATGCCTCGCCTGGTGAAGTGTAGTGCTTGGCCCTGCCCCAACACAGTGGACTGTTTTGTGTCTCGGCCCACTGAGAAAACCACATTTACTATTTTCATGCTTGCTGTGTCTGGGATCTGCATGATGTTGAATCTGGCTGAGTTGTGTTACCTAGTTTTAAAAGTTTGCATGAAAGAACCCAGGAAAACAACAGTTTTAAAATAATGCCCCAGTTTCAGGATCTCCTAGTTCCCAATTTCCCTCAAAGTTTCTTAGGTGTCAGAAAACAATCAGCAATATTTTCACACTCAAGGAAAAGGATAAAAATTATGTTTATTGGTGTTTTAAAAAATTATCTCATCCCTGGGAAGCTGCTACAGAGGCAGGTTTTAGAGATCATGGGCTAATTCAGTATTCCTGTATCAAACAGAGAGAGCAGTCTTCTGGCAGCAGCTTTTCCAGGTATGCCTACTGCTGGGAGCAGGTGTTGGGGCAGGGTCACTTCTCAAAAAATGGGAGGGGAAAGGCTCAGAGAAGGTCCTACTGCTCCAAGGAGAGCCAGGAATAACAAACACACTGTGTCAGCTTCAGAGGTGAGCCAGTAACAATGGGTTTTGGTCAAAAGTGGGGTGAAGGGTTTTTGGGGGAGACTTGCATCTTGTGACAAGGAAGAAGACAGGGAGGTGATTGTGTTTACAGCAGGTGTCCTGTTCTCTAAGGATTCTGAAGAGCAAGGAAAAGGCCTAAGAACAGAGGTACTACATGGCAATTTATGCAGCCAGCTCTGCTGGGCACCAGCAAATGTTTTTTATCTTTTTATCTCCTCATTTGCACTGAGGAGCACCTCCTGCAGGGCCAGGGGGTGGCCAGTCTCAGCTGCCTGTGAGTGTCATTAGGTCAGGGCTGTCTCCTGCCACTCAGGGGCTGCATGAGTGGGAGGACTGAAGTTCATCTTTTTCATTCCCTTGATCAGGGGAAAAAAAGGATTGTCACCTTTGAGAAAGGGAAGGCGGTGCAATTGACTTCCTCCATCTCTTTTTCTCCCCCAACACTTTGTGAAGAATCTCAGTACAGTACATTTTAGTTGATTAAGAGAATTTTACCACCTGACAGAACCTCCTTCAGCTGTGTACCTTTAAAAGTTGTTGGGTTTTTTTTTTCAGTAACCGCCAAGAAATCTTGCCTTGTTTAATTCTGTTTGTTATCCAAAAGAAGTGCTTCACCCTAAAGCATAAAGCAGTTGCTCCTACCCATGCTCCTATCAAGTGAGCCCCTCAAACCACTCCCAATCTTTCTGGCATTCCACATTGTGAGACTGAATCACCCTTCCTCTTCTTACAGTAGGTCTAGCAGGAATTACAGACAGCTTACACACCTACCACAGCAAAGGAACCCAATCAGAAAGGACGAACTTGATACTTTTCTCAAAGTTCACATTGCTGAGCCTTGAATTATATCTTACTAACTTGAAGAACTACATGAGTCAGTCTGGTCTTGCCTGTCCAAAGTAGTCTCAAAACATGTTTTATGCCTGTTATAGGCAGCTACCCCAGTGCATACAGCAACAGTTTGTCTCCCAAGTGCCTGCCCATTGAACCCACTTCTGGCTGTTTCTCCTCCTTAGCTTTAATAACTCTCTTTCCCCCAAAATGGATGAGCACTATCTCAGCTTCTCTACTTCCATCCATCTCTTACTGTACATTAAAGCTTAACACTGTTGGAGTAAACAAAGCTGCATTAAATAAGACCCATGGCCCCTCACTGTGCACTGGAATCAGGCTGCCATTGCTTGTGAGCTACCTCCAGTGTTACAACTAGAATGCAGAGGGAAATCTGTCTTCTAAGGGGGGAGAAAATAACCCATAAAAACACCATCCTTGGAACAAGGATGAACAAAAAGATGGGAAGTAATTAATAATGAGCTGAACTGGAAACTTGGACTGTGAAAACATCCTTAATTCAACTCTAAAGAACAAAGCTTGGCAAATATCTGTTTTATGCTTGGTAAAGTTCCTGCATTGTTCCATGTACAAGTACGGAGAGAACAAAGTATCTACACTCCCAGTGCTCTAGTAATAAATTTCTTTTGTGAAAACAGGATACTTTTTTTTTCTTCCTTTTTTTTTCCTGAAATTATAATTAAAGCACCCTTGTTGTGTCAGTTTTCTGTTTTAGTTATACATGCTATGGATTACCTAACGTGTGTAATGAACATCTGTTCACGTTTATGGAAAATACATGCACCAACACTACATTTAATAGCTAAGGGCCAGTGTCATGATTTTAGCCTGCTGCTGCAGGTAGGTTTTTCAACTGGTTACACTGCCTGTTACCCTGCAGAGTTTGTGAACTGATAGTGGAAGGTCACATTTGTGACCCCTACTAGAAATGCAATGTGCTGCTTAAGTCAGCCTTGTACTAGCAGAACTGCAGATGGAAAAAGCTGGTGATAAATAACTTAACCAGCTCCATAGGGAAGACAGTTTGCTTTCCCAGCCTGCTGTTGAACTTAACTGGAACTTGGCATGAGGCACACCAAAACTGGTAACACTAACACTGGGAGGTTATCTTTAACTAGCAGTTCGGCAACCAGATTGTCACATAGGGGAAAAAGAAATAGAGAAAGTGTCTGGAAGTGGCCAAGAGAGGGCTTTGATCCAGAACTGCAGCATCAGGTGATAACTCCACTAGGACATATTTACTGTCTGACATTTCTGTGTATATTAGATTTGACTGAACAGCAGCAGCTTTGTAGGGAAAAAAATCAGATACTTCATAGGAATTGCACCTATTTCTACATGTGCTACATTGCATGGTTGACCTCCTACAAATGGATTTCATACAGATTAAAATAGAATGCTGTGTTGGAATTGTGTGTTCTTTCCTGAAATACATGAGAAGTGCCTACATTTTTAGCACTTGGTTCCTAGGCTCTTCTCAGAACAAAGATTGCAAGAGGGTTGAAAACTGAAGCAGCAAATCTGAAGTCTTGACTGCAAAAGAGGCTGCTTCCTCACTATCCAGTGTAGCAAGACTATAAAGTGTCAAATAATGTGGTATTGAAACTGGGAAGTATAGGAGTGGTACTGGCTAGAATTATACCTTGATTGAAACGACCAGGAGAAATCACCATTGACTTCATCAAGCTAAACTTTGATCCAAAACCTTGAAACCAAGACTACAAACATGTTTGTTAGAAAGGAGGAGAGAGGGAGGGGAAGCAAACTTCACTGTTAACTCAAGGACCCTGCTAGAGAAAAAAACCCTAACTCTTCTGGGAGAAAGACTGATTTGAAATGAAATCAGAACTATATCTCTCTATTTATGACTTCTGAATATAGAAGTACCTTTATTAAAGGTTTTCTTAGGCAAAAATTTAAAAATCCTTCAGATGTTTTACAGTTATGAACCAATGTTCTGTCTTATTTTTTAACTGACAGCAAGAATATAGAAGAGACATTATATGGTCCATAAGGAGAAGAGCTTTCCCGTACCATGAAGGTTCAATTCAAAAGAGCAACACTGTTAGAAGTTGCTTCATTTGGTAAAAAATGTCCTGCAGCAAAGGAGCAAGAGCTAGTAGCACTTGACTATAAACTGAACTTGATGAAAATCACTCTCTTTTTCTTATAATAATAATAATAATAATAATATCCTCCCCTGTAACTTATGCTAATGTATTTTACCAGAAAACAAAATGACACTCAAAGAATTGCACTGTTTTACTGTCACCTGTTCTGATATTCAGGACAGCCACTACCCTCGGCATTAATTACGGGTTTCTTTAGATTTTCACCATCTTATTATCTATACAGTCACTTGAACCTGTTTGTAAACAGTGGCAAGAGTAATGATAACTATCTGAGGCTTAATGAACTAATACCAATGTAATGATCTTCAAGATAGTTCAGGATGTACATACACTTTGTTCCCCATCTGAGCAACCCAGCTTGTCATTATAATTTTCTTTTACAGAATAGAATTCCCTTTTGTAAAGCTGGCCCAGCTCTGACCTGGGTGTTTTCTCTGTAAGCCTTCACAGACACACCAAAAAAAGTCTATATAACCTAGGTTTGGAAAGATGCTACACTTTAATCAGCAGCCCAGCTGAGGAAACAAGTCACATCTCTGACTTTTCACCTTTGAGAACATAGCTTGTCCCTCCTGTGGCTGGTCCCCCAGTACTACCACAAGATTCAGCCTCAGAATTGGCTGCATAATTGCACAGACCTTCTCCATTTTTCTTCTTGTTGCATCTGCCACTAACTCAATCATTATTTTACATCTGCTTGCTCTATGCTCAATCCATTGTATTTTAATAGGCCATGTACTAAAAAATTTCTTCCTCAAGAATACCACCAGGTAGCCAGATGCTTGAATAAGCCTTTCTGGTAAAGGAATGATTTGGTATCAATATGACGTACAGTCTAAGGGAGTATGTTTTGCATAAACTGATAAAGAAGTTACACACTTGAGCTATGAATCACTGCAGGTTGTAGATGAATGTTCTGAACAGCAGTGTATATTCTGTGTGCTGTTAAGAGCCAGGACTTCACTCAAAGCCTGGCACAGTACCCAGGAATTAAATACTGTGGTGCGTGGATGCAGTCAGACCAGACTGAAGCAGTTGAAATTGTTCAGTGGACAAGCTGTGCTGGGCAGGCTCACTTGCTTAGACAACGTGTGTCTTTTCTGATGTCTTGGCAATTATGATAATACTGGCTTGTCAGCTGGGAAAGACAAGTCAGGATCATGAAATTTGGTTTAAAAGGGTTTTTTTAAGATCATTTTCTATTGAGGTTCAATCTTTAAGACAACACACAAAAATCTCTCCCAC